ACCCGTCCTATGTCACGCACCTTCCGCCGCCACAGCCTGCCCCCCACCCACCCACCCACCACCACCCACCCACCCACCTGCCCACCACCCAACCGGCGCTTCGAAAGTCATCATGTCGCACATCTTCCCCTGGCCCACCCTCCGCACTGCTGAGCCGAGTTCTGCTGTCGGCTATCAGCTCCTGGCCACCGGGCCGGAGCAGACGGTGGCGGTGGTCTCGCTGCACTCGCCGCCTGTCAATGCCCTCTCCCACGCCTTGCGCAAGGGCATTGCTGCTGGACTTGATGCTGCTGTGGCTGATGGTGCTGCTGCTCTTGTCATCGTGGCAGAGGGCAAAACATTCCCGGCTGGCGCAGACATCTCCGAGTTTGCCACCGGCAAGGCCATGGCCAAGCCTGTCCTCACCGACCTCATCGCCGACCTCGACGCCCCCGATCTCCCACTGCTGACCCTTGCCGCCATGCATGGCACTGCCTTTGGTGGTGGCCTCGAGCTCGCGCTCGCAACCCACTACCGCATCGCTTTGCCCGGTACCCTCCTCGGCCTGCCCGAGGTCGGCCTCGGCTTGCTGCCCGGCGCCGGTGGCACCCAGCGCCTGCCGCGCCTGCTCGGCCTCGTCGACGCCGCAAAGGCCATCACCACTGGCCGCCCCATCAAGGCCGACAAGGCTCTCAAGGCCGGCCTCCTCGACGCCGTCGTCAGCCCGCCGCCGCCGCCAGGCACCCCGCTCACCGCCGCCCTGGCCAACACCGCCGTCGCCTACGCTGTCGACATTCTCGCCGCCCATGCCGCCGCAGGCACGTCGCCGGCCGCTACTCGCAGGGTTTCGGCCCTCCCGGTGCCTGGCGGCGCGAGCAAGGCCATGATCGAGGCCATCAAGGCCAAGACTGTCGCCGCCTCGCGCGGCTTTGAGGCCCCGGGCGTCATCATCGACGCCATCGCCGGCGTCCTCGAGCCGACCTTTGACGAGGGCCTTGCCGTCGAAGCCAACGCCTTTGTGCAGCTCTTCACCTCGACCCAGGCCCGCGCCTTGCAGGCGTTTTTCTTTGCCGAGCGCGCTGCATCCAAGGTCCCGGGCGTGAACCCGCGTGACGCCGTCGCCCTGCGCAAGCTCGGCATCGTCGGCGCGGGTACCATGGGCTCCGGCATCGCACTTGCGGCGCTCAAGGCCAAGCGCCCGCTTGCGGTTGTCCTCCTCGACGTCTCGCGCGACTCGCTCGACGCCGCCGCCGACCGGATCGTCGCCTACTTGGACTCGCGGGTGGCCAAAGGCCGGATGACCCGCGCTGCCGCCGACGATGCCCTCGCCCGCATCACTTACGCCACCGACTACAGCTCGCTCGCCGACGCCGACATGGTCATCGAAGCCGTCTTTGAGAAGCTTGCCCTCAAGAAGAAGATCTTTGCCTCGCTTGACGCCGTTTGCAAGGCGGATGCCATTCTCGCCTCCAACACCTCGACGCTCAACATCGATGCCATCGCCGCCGCCACCTCCCGCCCACATGCCGTCGTCGGTACGCACTTCTTCGCCCCTGCTCATGTCATGCCGCTGCTGGAGAACATCCGCGGCGCGGCCTCGGGCTCCGCCGCCCTCGCCTCCTCCATGGCCCTCGGCAAGATCCTAGGCAAGAAGGCCATCATGGTCGGCAATTGCCCGGGCTTTCTTGCCAACCGCATCTTTGCCAACTACTTTAACGAGTCAGCCCTGCTCGTCGAAGAAGGAGTGCCGTACGACGCTGTCGACGCCGCCGCCCGTGCCTTTGGGCTGCCCATGGGCCCGTTCCAGACCGCGGACCTCTCCGGCCTCGACATTGGCGCCTCCATCCGCAAGGAAAAGGTCTACGCCGCCATCCATGGCGCGCGCACCTCGTCGCTGCCCGATAAGCTCGTCGACGCTGGCCGCTACGGCCAGAAGACAGGCGCAGGCTGGTACAAGTACGACGGCCGCAAGGCTGTCGTCGATCCCTACGTCACCCGCCTCGTCACCGAACACATCGCCGCCCTTCCGTCGTCCACTGCCGCAGGTGCCCCGCCGCTCGACTCAGATGACGCCATTGTTCTCCGCCTCCTCCTCCCTGTCGTCCTCGAGGGCCTCCGCTGCCTTGAGGAAGGCATCGCCCTCCGTGCCTCGGACATCGACGTCGCCGCTGTCTATGGCTACGGCTGGCCGCGCTACCGCTGCGGGCCCATGTGGTGGGCCGAGAACGAGCTCGGCTGGGACGATGTCCTCGATGCCTGCAACGACATGCAGCCGCTCTGGGCTGGCCAGCCCTATCTCCGGCCACCGGCCCTCCTCACCCTCCTCGCCGAAGAGGATATGACCCTCCGGGAGTGGGCCAAAGCCAACACGTCCAAGCTCTAGCTCCTGCCGCGCCGGCCGAACCTGCCGACGCTCATCAAAGCCGCAGAGATCCACGCCCACAGCACGCACAGGCACGACACACACACGGCGGCGTGCCTTTGGCTGAGGCATCGCGGGTGGCAGACTCGATCGCGCGCGGGGGGGGGGGAGGGAGGAGGACCACTGGTTGGTTGACTCGAGGACCGCTGCCCTTGGTCCGGGGCAGCCCGCTCGGCCCGCGACGGGTCAGGCCACCCAAGCCGTCTCGGCCTGTGCCCCGTACACTCGACGCCCGCCGCACACACCACACACACTTCACGACACACCACAGACAGCACGCCGCTTGCAATGCATGCACGTCGCGGAGTGGTGGACAGTGCTGTGGCGGTCGTCCTTCTCTTCGCCCTCGCCCTCGCCCTCGTGGCCCCGCCGCTGCCTGTCTCGGCGTCGCGGGCGTTTCCGGCTGGCCAAGACGGGCAGGACGGACATGTTGGCCAAGACGCACAGGACGGACATGTCGGCGAAGGCGGACAAGGCGGGCAAGGTGGAGGCCGTGGACAAGGGGAAGATCGTGACCTCTCTTCGCGTACCGCTCTTCGGTCGAGCGATGGACTGAATCGGTCGGCACAGGAGCTGGTCGTTGCCACGACAGTGGTGGCAAGCTCGTCGTTGACTGCGTATGTGGCGCCCGATGGGTCAGACTCGCCGTCGTGTGGGCCGCCGTCGCTGCCGTGCGCAAGCATCGGATACGCGTTCAACATCTCGCGCGAGGGCCTTCCCACGGCGTCCGGTCTGACGCTGAGTCTGGCGCCCGGCGTGTATGAGGGCGGCGACAACTGTGGGTTGGCACCGTCTCTGGCGCAGCTGGCCTCGCTTCGCCGACTCACCATCGAGTGCAGCGGCGGAAGTCGTGCCGGCGCGAGCTGCGCCCGCATATCCTGCCCGCACGCCCCGTTCTTCCTCTGGCTGACCAATTGTCTCGAGACAACGTACCTGCTCGAGGTGACGCTTGCGGCCCTCACGATCTCACATGGCGGTTTGGCGCTGGCACCGGCCGCCCGTGCCGATGTCGGCGGCGTCTTTATCGACTGGCCGTCGCAGCTCACCGCCGATGACATCAAGTTTGAGGGCAACGTGGGTCGTCTCGCTGGTGGCCTGTGGCTGGGTTCGGGTGCCGGTCCGCATACGCTTTCTCGCGTCACGTTTGTGGACAACGCGGCGACAGAGAGTCTGGTTCCTGGGTTTGAGGCTGGCGGCGCCGAACTGATATCGGGCGGCGGCGGGCTCCGTGTCGAGCCGGCGTCGCACTCCCGCCGAGTGGTGTTTCAGCTCACAGCCTCGACCTTTACCAACAACACCGCCGGGACCGGTGGCGGCCTCGGCCTACTCGGCCTCGCCAACATGTTTGTGGCCGACACAGTCTTTACCGCAAACACTGCAGCATTTGGTGGTGGGCTCTACACCCGTAACATGTACGCCCACCGCAGCTCGGGTGCTGCGCTGGTCAACTCGACCTTTGCCGGCAACTCGGCGTTGATCGGTGGTGGGCTGGCCGTTATGGGCGGTTCCGGCCAGGCCAACGAGTGCCGCCTCGTCCGCAACGAGGCTAGTGTCTACGGCGGTGCCCTTTATCTCGCGTACTCGGGCACGCTCAACATGACTGCCGCGGTAGTGACGGGCAACTCTGCCGGCAAACGTGGAGGCGGCGTCTTTGCAGTCTACTCGGAAGGCCTGGTCCTCTTCTCGAGCACGGTCGAGGCCAACAAGGTGGCGAGTCGCAGCTCCAGCTTTGACACCCGCGGCTCGGCCGGCTACCTGGCGCATGTCGACGGCATGGCGGCATTTCCGGGCACGCTCCTGGCAGGCGACGACGCGCTATTCTGCGACCATGCGACGTCCAAGTCCGGCTGTGTACCCTGCCACGCCGATGCGTGCGCTGTGTGCTTCGCCCGTGACACCGGATGCGTAGCGAGTAGCGGGGCAGGGCGCGGGCCGGTGGTGTGCGCCACGCTCTCGCCAAGCGCGTTTGCGGACAACGCGGTGACCGGCGAGCCCGGCTCGCTGCAAGCGTGCTCGTGTGCCGACACCGACTCTGCGTGCTCGGGTGCAGGAGCGTGCTGGTGGGACTTTGGTGATGACGGCTACTGCATGTGCACAGACTCGCGGACGGGAGCGACGTGCTCGCTGCCACGCAAGCTCATCCTGATCTTCTCAGCCGTGCTGGTGGGAGTCGTCGCCGCAGCGGCGCTCGCTCTCTGCACCATGCACGGCCGGCTGGTGTGGCACGGCCGGCGGCAGCGGCGGAGCCACGAGCTGCTCGTCAACTGAGGAGTGGGGGAATCCGCAGCTACGGCTTGGGCTCAAACTCGAGCCGCTCCGGATTGCCAGATGACGGCATCGAGTCACGGTAGATCTCGGTGCGCGAAATGAAGAACGAGTACGGCACTTCGGGGTTGAACACTAGCGAGGCTTCCGAGACGCCGGATCGGCCCTTGATGATGTATGAGCACTCGGCGAGGAGGCGCGCGTCGATGAGGACCGACTCGCCCTTGACGTAGTTGGCCAGCGAGTGGTCCTTGTGCAGCGGAACGGTGTCGGAGCTCGACTTGCGCGGCGCTTCCGAGGCGACAACCGGGACCGGGGCAAACCGCTCGCGGGTCTGCTCCAGGAACTCGGCCTCGTCAGTGGCCACAAAGATCGAGTACGGGTACGCCGATGCGTCGCCCGAGCCTTCGATGGCGGCCGAGGCTTTGCTGCGGGCGTGGACCTTGGGCGGCAGCGGGAGGCCGCGGGAGACGAGGACGTGGGCCATCTCGTCCCAAAAGTATCCGTACTCGATCTTGTAGTACGGGTAGTGCTGGACAGTGTCGAGGCCGCGGTAGTGGACGCCGAGTACAAAGTCGGAGTGGAAGTTGTCGTCGACAAAGGTATCAACCTTGGCCAGCAGCGCAGGCTGGAACGCAAAGTACTTGGTCATCAGCCGCGAAAGCTCCTTCCGGTCCAGCGCGTGGGTCATCGGGTAGAGGTAGCCCTTGGAGCCGTACACGATGTGGCCAAACCCTCCAAGTCGTCCATAGCGCCGGACGTACGAGTTGAGGTGGACCTCGGGCGGCGAAGCTGCGCCGGCCTCGGGCTTCTTGAGCCACATGGTGTCGGGCGTGAAAAGTACGACCACCACGAGTTGCCGCGGCCCTTGTCGAGGTACATCGGCGTGTCGAGGTGCGGCCGTACAGCCGCTGCCCCGTGAAGTTCGGCATACTTGAGCGCGCCGAGCATGGCGTGGAACTCGGACATCATACCTGAATCCCATCACATACATTAGCCCGGGGACAACGTCATCAGCAAGATCGACGCGGCGTGTCGTGGACATACACGCCATGGTGGTCGGTCACAGAGCGACGTCGGTCCGTGCCACCACACGCACCCCCCCCCCCCCCCCCACACACACACACACACACACTCCCTCCTCCACCACATACACACACATACCATGAGTAAACACACACACACACGCAAACACACACATACACACAGACCTCCCCAGCCCAGCCCTATGTGCACCACCTCGCTCAATCGTACCTGCGCAGTCGTCCTCCGACCACAGCCCGCAGCGGGCGTAGACGACCATGATGCGGCCATCGACGGCCTGGTCGAGCATGCCCGAGGAGACTGCGTGGCGGGCACCGGCATAGACCGGGTAGGCAGCAACCAGCAGGCCGAGGACAAGCTTCCACCGCACGATGAGGGTGGTGATGAGCCACTTGCCCATGGCCGACACAAAGGGCCCGTGTCCGCCCACCGCACTCCGCCCACGCCCCGGACGCCCATGCGCTGCAGACGACAGTGCGTCCAGCCGGGACCTCATGCCTCCCGCCTCCATATCCCCACGCATGCCTTCTCTGCCCTGCGTCAAGTGTGTCCTTCCCCCTCCCCCCCCCCCCCCCCTCTGTCGCAGGGTGTGTGGTTGGTTCATCCAGTGCAGGATCTTAGGCGTCGATGACTTGACACGGTCACGCTTTGCCTTTGAAAGCAATGTGACATAGCGCTACTACGCGTACGGTACCTTGACCGTGTCTTGCCTTTTGTCTTCACCATAAGTCACAATCCCGCACATACCTCGCGGACAATTCAGTTTCTTAGTTGACACAGCCTCTGGTGATCTTTTGCAAAGTGACTGATCTTACCGCTAGAGTTCTCAGGTGTTCAAAAGCGTCCCTTGCTGCACCACTAGCTCCAACTCAACATGGCCGGTGCACGCGATGTGACCCTGCCGGATCCGGTCGACGCCGCA